ACCCCCATCGGGACTCAACCTGGGCTCTGGTATTATAGCTACTAATTTCGACATGCAATTGCAACAAAAACTGCTACGCATGCCCCTGGATCGCAGAGTAGACATGGTAGACATAATATAATATACCCATATTTATATATACCTTTAATTATATTTATATATTTATTTTATATAAAATAGGTTTCGGACCTATCAGTATATCTTGAATAAGATTTCCAGGCGAGACTCAGGCGAGGTCGAGAATAAAGACCAGGATAAATGTAAAAAACCGTTTTAGAAACAAAAGTAAGTGAAATTAAATGGAAAAGTGAGGCCGATTGTGGGCAAACTCAGCTATCAGTCTTTCATCACTTTATGCGACTTGAGCTAGCTGGAATTCATAACATTTGCTTTTGTCTTGTGATGAAGATACTGTTATTGTTGGCGTCAAGCATGGGATTCGCGGTGTCAACTCCTTATGCTTTCACGGAAATCCCATTGGCCGGACTGGCGAGAAAGTGTGCCAGCCTAGTTTATTAAGTAAGCCCAATGAATAATCTCTCATTTCTGTTCTCCTCTCTTCTGGCCAGATCCCCTCAATCGGATGTTAATTTCCCTGAAGTGGGCCCAAACAGAGTCCTCCTTTCATCCAAGATAGATGAGATTAACGTTGAAATGTCCTACCATCCCATCAAGCCTCGGGTAGTTACTTGGTGGCCGGACGGAAATTTGCTCAAACAAAGTTTCATTTATTGGGCCACGCCTTGGAGATCATACATACCCCACTATCCTGACTCTTTGGTAGCTGACGCAGTAGAAGCGGAAGACAATTGAGCCCTAACCTTAACACAACCGCAGAGCAAACCAATCAGGGCACAAGGTCTATACACGTGGACCACGAAGATAATTTGACAATAAGTATCAAAACAGAATCTTTGTCTTGTGTTGTAAGACATGATGCCCTTAGCAACAGCTATTGCACACATCGATGCAACTACACATCAATGCATACACACACTCTAGCACGTACACATGCAATCAAAAGTGCACAGTCACACTCCATAGATAATGCCAGCATATCTACCCACGTAATTGTTTTGCACACCAAAGCTGTGAAGATGATCACAATATAGCTCCATTTGTACAGCACTGTGGAGACTTTAATTTTGTACAAAAGTGCACGAGAAGCAGATTCATTAATTGATCTCGACAGAAGACGACGCTGTAAACGCCGTCCCCGAAACATCCTACCTTGCTTCGGGTGAAAACTGATTGAGTTTTCGTTCGTCATATGACAAATGTCATCAGAGCTGGAACTCATTCTTTCAAAAGTCTCAGGTTAACACTAATTCCAGAAGACCGCATAACAACGGAAATCGGTCAGATCGATTCAAGAATCTCTTCATCATGCGTTTTAATACGAAATGATAGTCTCCACAATAATGTTACATCAAAAGATTAATCGAAATCCACCTTTTCTTTGTATACGCTCTCTTTGTACACTCCACCCATCAAAAGAGGCCTGGAAAAGAGAATATGAAGGAGGGTGTGAAAGGCTGACAGACGGACAAATGAAGCCTCACTTGAAATCGGCCCCCCCGCCCTCCCGACAAGGAAGGGGACTCGATGTTCTCCGGAGGCTCGGTCACCAATTCGGCAACCAAGTGATCTCGTGCTATCAGACTTGGCTGCCAGATGATATCCAGATTGGCCAATTCGTCTTGCAGTTGGCGACGCTTGCTACGGTACGCCGGTGTCTCGAGCTGTTCGTTCTGCCATACAGACGCAAATTCACAATCTAAACTACCAGATCTCGAAGACCCGCGCATCTGCTCCTTCTTGGTGGGTTGTGAAGTGAGTTTGCCTTGTGGTCGAGACTCAACCATTGCGATTCGACCGGCACTGATGGGATCGCTCGTCTCCCAGGCCTCAGAGAGAGCAGGAACCAGATCAACGAGTGAGACGGAATCACTAGAAAAAGAAAAGATGGATAAATTTGTCCTCATAAAACAAACATTTCCACAAAGGCTTGTTGAGAGCTCGAATCACATGCATTTGGTTCATTACAAGACTTTAAGTTATGCCTTCCTGTGACAGAGGATGCGATTAGCAAGTCGATCTCACGGATTTATATTTCATTGCAGTCGTTTGATACGACTTTGGTTGAGGCAATACATTAAAAATCTTCCTTCGGTTTCGAGAAAAATTGACTGAGCCACTTAACACACAATACATCAGAGCTAAACTTTAAGGGAAGACTAAGTCAAGAAAAAATCTAATAGCTTAACTTTAAGTTCTGAAACATATAAGCTTGAACGAGTAATTGGGTTTTGATGAATCACCAGAGACAACAGTGTTGAAGTGACTTTCATTTCGTATGAAAGTGCATGAAGAAGTAATTCAAAGGTCGATCTCATCAGAAGACTAACGCTGTTTTTAGTTTGGCTTAAATACGTTTCTTTTTTTCATTTATGAGTACATATAAGAGGTAAAATAGAGTCAGACAGTCTTCTTGACGTAATATTACGTTGAGATTTTCACAAGAATAAGTTCCTGTTCATGTGATGGGCGAAAGCTTAGCCAGTTTTCCCACAAAACAAGAGAAGATGTCTCGTCATTTTAGAGCCAAACAGCTGCGAATCAGCCGTCGTCTTCGGATGAGATTGACTTCCGAATCACTTCTTCATACACTTTAACACGAATAAGATTCAGTTTTGACTAGTTCCGTCAAGCGGCTTAAGGGAGGAAGGCTCGGTTCGCTTGCATCTGAACTGCAGGAGGATGGTTCATTGAATTAAAAGATCATAAATTTATTAGGTCGCCACAACAATATTATTTCAGGAGATTAACCTAAACCTAGTTACATTTTGTCTATACAACAAATAATATGCATAATGACGTATCCCACAACTAAAGACAACAGAAAGTATACCTTTTTATACGATTAAGTCGACTTCTGGATCAGTATAAGTAGAATATTCGCCGTGGTCACTCAAAAAGAGCCCCTAATAGGTTTATTTTACGGAATCAAATTTCCAGAAAAATTAGGCTACTTTCTGATGTAAAATGGATGTGTGGATGGGCCTAAAATAATGCTGTAGATTGGATCCTTGTCATACGGTAGTTTTATTTGGGGAACACAAGCAAATAGGAAAATTCCATTTGTGAGGGTTAAGAAAATTTACCGCATTTTCTCTTGAACCCCGCCCGTCTTCACAGCCCTGTTCAAGGCCTTGGCGATCTGCTTCTCTTCCATGCTGCGCATAAATGCAAGGTTGGCATTAGCCGGCGAGTATTCATGAGGAGCAAGCAGATGCTTTTAAAAAGGAAAAGAAATGAAAATAATTGGTGGCAAAGGAAAAAATAAATTTAGGAGAAAGAAAAAAGGATATAAAAAAAGCAATTTCAGCCAGTCTAGGTTGTTTAAGATGACATTGTGAGATAATCTTTCATTTTGAAGAAAAAGTTGGCTGGAAGAACTTCGTGAAATGGTCTTACCTAAAACTGAAGGAGGATTAGCTCGGAGTAAAGACTGTTAGCTTGTGTGAAGAAGTCCTCGGCTCACCGTCCTGCGACCGCGAGTAACTTGTGCCAAGCTCTTGTCGGTACCGACGTGACAGACATCATCAAAGCAAGAATACATACTTTACGAAATATAGCAAAAATAGACTAAACCAAGAGAAAATGTGGCCGGCTGCAACCCTAGTCACTTTTTGATACATCTACCTTAATAGGGAATCCCATGATTTGGTTGGTTACCTCAAACTTACTCTACATGCTTGCTCTGGATTGCATAACCCAACAAACAGCTTTCACTCAGCGAGGAGCCTCCTTTGGTTCCCATAGAGACAATTTTGCCTATTCCTTCCAACTAACTGGAACGTTGTCACGATATATCATCGCGGAATTCTTCGAAACCCAATTTTTCTTCATAACTTAAGACGACAGTTGAATTTCTCACAATCAACTAAATGGGCCTGACAGTACTGGTGAATGCACTCATCCTTGACGCCTGATTTTGGGAAAATTCAATCATCAGTCCTTCATCAACTTGTGCGATCTAGAGTGAATAGAAGCAGGATTTTCTTTTAGTTTCAGAATCTACCCAATTCGAATATGATGATATGAACTGTCCTTGGGAGGGACCGTTCTAGAGAATAATATTTAATCGAGAGAAATCTGCAGCAGTCGATCACCGTGCCAATGGGCAACAGAGCAAGTGTCTCCCTTAAAACAAACCGGGTAGATCACAACTCACATTTTAATAATAGTTTCAGTGCCGAGGCAAGACGAATTTACAGTCGCCGTTGACCTTGACAACAATACTGTGTATAGAAGTAGAGTTCTGAAACCTACTTATTTGAAGAACCTACCTGCCAAAGGTGTTCAGATGAGAGCATAGCTGGATCAAAAGTAGGATATATTCTGGAAGAAAGAACCTTTTTAGGATAGCATTATCATTAATCTCATTCAAAATGACTCCGCACTCCTCAGGAGTTGCAGAAAACGCTCTGCAAACTTGAAGAAAGGGATGAACAGACAAGAAAACATTGTGTAAACTCTCTAGCCTTAGTTGACTTTTTCATGGGTTGACCTTCAAACGTACCTTTCGATACTCTGTTGCGAACATTATGTCGTCGCCTGCGTAAAGATCCCCCATGCGCATCATGTTGTCGAGAAATGCCAATAAAGGTTGTGATAGCGACAGTTGACTAATCACGTCCTCCAGCTCAACTTGAACGGCATCGAGCTCTTGCTGGACATCACGGCCTGCTCTAAAACAGAAGAAGATAGAGAATTTCGTCCCTCAAAAAAAAACGTAGGCAAACCCAAATTTTAACAAATCAACAAGGGTCTATTGAGGTCAAAGTCGAATCAAATGTGTTGGTTTTGTGAGCTGAATGACGATGCAGTTGGAGTTGAGTACATAAATTAGACCACAATATTTGCATAAAGAGCATAATGGCATGGGTCAAGTGTGTCAACCAGATTTACTGATAATCTAGAAAACCTACCTTATAGCATTGAGGTGGAGATTTTCATTTTGTATGAAAATGTGTGATAAAAAAAATTCGTTGGTTGATCTCACCAAAAGACGACGGATTATTCGCATTATTCCGCTATCGTTTGGCTTTAAGATGACGCACAAGTAGACACAGTCCACAAAGCATCAG